CTCATATCTGAATAAAAGTTATAATACTGAATGTGGTATTGCATAATTGCATGTGCTGCTTCTATTTCATATTTCTCATGTGAGCTCTATTTCTGCCTTTAGAATAAAACTCACTGAGTGCCAAGACTTGCCTGCCTTGCATTGCCATAGACCAGAGGGAACACCAGGCACGTGGTAATGTTCAGCGGTTTTTAAAAAAATAATGAATGAAGAGTTTAATTAACAAAGGAACGCATTCCTCTTCTCTTGCAGGGGACCAACTGCTTGATATTAAGCAGGACTGAGCCTTCGCTGCTAACATTTCCCCAGACACTTTTTTCCCCAAGTGAGACAGTTCTGGACGAGTGACCCAGTAAAGCACAACCCTTGAAGGCAGCAAACTTTCATCTTTCTAAAAGCTCAGGAAAGTGGCACAGCAGCACCCAGATATTTTTGTTACCTGGTCTAGGGATACTTCCTTTATTTTCCGAACTGATTCATTCAATTCCAGGAAGAAAATAAAATATTCTATGATTTGAGGCCTGAATTTGGGGTCGGGAGGGGGGTTCTCTTTCCAAATTCTTTTCCTGGAACATCAGCTAGGACTCAAGTCTAGAGGCGTCACTTTCACTCTCTCTTTAAAATAAAGGAGAGTCAAGAGAATGAGAAGACAGGTTGCAAACTAGGAGACAACATTTGCAAAAGTCACATTGGATAAAGGCCTGTTATCCAAAATGTACAAAGAACTCTTAAAACTCAAAAATAAGAAAGCAAATAACCTGGTTTAAAAAATAGGCCAAAAACCTTAACAGATGCCTCACCAAAGAAAATACACACATGGCAAATCAGTAAATGAAAAGATGCTCCACATCATATGTCCTGTGGGCAATGCAAATTAAAACAACAATGAGATACCACTACACACCTATTAGAACAGCCAAAATCCAGAACATCGACCACACCAACGCTAGTGAGAATGCGGAGCAACAGGAATTTTCATTTATTCCTGGTGGGAACGCAAAACGGTACAGCATTCTGGAAGACAGCTTGGCAGTTTCTTACAAAACCAAACTTATTCTTACCATATGAGCCAGCAATTACGCTCCTTGGTATTTATGCAAAGGAGGTGAAAACTTATGTCCGCAAAAAAACCTGCACAGAGATGTTTATAGCAGCTTTATTCGTAATTGCCAAAACTTGGAAGCAACCAAGGTGTCCTTCGGCAGGTGAATGGATGAATAAACTGTGGTCCATCCAGACAATGGAATATTATTCAGCTCTAAAAAGACATGAGCTGCCAAACCATGAAAAGACATGGAGGAGACTTAAATGCACATTACTAAGTGAAAGAAGTCAACCTGAAAGCCCACATACTGTATGAGTCCAATTACATGACATTCTGAAAAAGGTAAAACTTTATGAAGACAATAAAAAAATCAGTGATTTTCAGAGGTTGGAGTAAAGGGGAGGGATGAACAGACAGAGCACGGAGAATTTTAAGGGCAATGAAACTACTGTGTATGATACTGTACTGACAGACACATGTCATTACACATTTGTCCTAACCCACTGAATGTACAATACCAAGAGCGAACCCTAAGCAAAAGTGAAATACGGACTTTGGGTGACAATGACATGTCAGCACGGGTTCATCAATTGTAACGAATAGGCCACTCTGGTGCGAATATTGGTAACGGGGAGGCCATGCGTGCATGGGGGCAGGGACATGTGGGAACTCTCTGTACCTTCCTCTCAATTTGGCTGTGAACCCAGAACTGCTCTAAAAAATTAATTCTTAAAAAAAAAAACACACACACACACAGAGGAAGAGGAAAGAGAGAAAGACCTGGTTTAACACATGAATAGAAAAGAACTTTTCACCAGCCAAGGTAGGGTAAATTGACCTTAAAAGCCTCCAATAAATAATTTTGAATGAAAGAAATGTGCAGTGTCACCTGAGAAAATCTAGTCCTGAATTTGGGCGGTTCATCATTATCAAGCAATCAGTTTAGTAATAATAACAACTTCAGCAATAATAATAACAGGTATCTTGAGCACTTGTGATGTATAGGCACTGTTGTAGGCAAGTTAAATGCTTTAAACTCATTTAATCCTTACCAAAACCCCATGAAGTAGATACCATTAGCATCCCCATTTTGCAGAGAAGGAAACCAAGGCTGAGCAAGAGAAGCTAAGTAACTTTCCTAAACTCACCCTACTAAGAACTGGCAGAGCGAGGATTCCAGGCCAGGCAACCTGGCTCTCGCATCCATGCTGCTCCGTTAGCTCACTGCAACTATAATTCCCTGCAAATGCTCCAAGGGAGAATGTCATAACACAAAGGAACAAGAACTAACACGTGTTTAGCAGGCATGGCATGCAGGTTGCTTTACCAGCTTTATCTCATCCAGTCCTCACAACAAATGTATTATAACCCTAATTCCACATACAGGAAAACTGAGAATTAGAGAAGTCATGATTTGGCCAAGGTCACTAGCTGATAAATTACATTGCCAGTTTCCAAACCTTAGCAGCCAGACTCCAGTGCCCAGATCATTATTCCCCACACCACACTACCTCTCTGTTGGAAGCAATCTATGGTGCTCTAAGCAATCTATGGGGCGCTTAATGACATGGAGAGAAGACTTGTCCCATGGCATGACTTCTTTTCCAAAGACCATGCACAAGAGAAAGGCAGTATGGTGTAAGAGCACAATGAGCACAGACTTTGACATCAGACAGACCTGGATTGAAATCCCAGCTCCAGGAAGTACTGTGTGACCTTATATACAGCTCTCTGAGACTGTTTCCTGATATGCACAAATGGGATAAAACTCTTCTAACCTCTCTGGTGACTATGAAGGTCAGATGAGACAGCAAGTGGAAATGCTGGCCCCAGGAGACCCTTCAATCATCCACCTCCCCGGATCTAGCTAGACATTCCTTTCCTCGACCACAAAGGGGATCCCACAAGCATATAGGAAGTCCATCTCTGCTCAGTTAGTCTCACTGCCCGTCTTGGGCTGAGCCATAGCATCTTCTTGGCAAAGGCTCCAAGCAAAATTGCACAAATGTGGGCTCTCCAGACTAGGACCACGTTCCCTCCACACCCAGCATTCACGCTGGGAGCCAGCAGGAGCTGCCACAATGCTGCAGCTCTGTCCATGAGGCCGCCAGGCACCAGGGCGGAAGAGAGATGGCGGGGTTTGGGGGGTGGGGGGTATGAAATCATTACTGACATTGCCTATTTGGATTAACAGGGACCCAGGGTTTCAGCTGAGATATCACAAAACAATACTGCCTTGGAAATGTTTAGATCAACTGGGGGCAGTTTGTTTTGATTTGGGGTATGTTTTATTTTGCTTTGGGTTTTGCCCTTTCAAAAAAATCTATTCAAGCTTAAAGGCATCTAGCAGAATTTTTTAATTAAAAAAATAATTAAAATAATTTTTTAAAAAACCAACTAAAATTCTGTTGGTGTTTAAAAACTCTGGGTGATAACCTTGCTTCTCAAGTCGTTCCTTCTGTTTATATATACTCAGTCTCTTTTGGTTCCCTAATGGTCATATCTGACACAGTTTAATCATTTTAAATGGCCATTTGGTTAAATAGGAATGGATAAAACAATTTTTAAAAGCCCCCAGGAACAAGTTTTTATGCAGACGTTTTCTTTATTTTATATCCCAAGCTTATTTACAGTGGCTCTAAATCAGGGGCCAGCAAACTACAGCATATTGGCTAAATCTGGCCCTCTGTTTTTTTTTTGTGAATAAAGTTTTATCGGAACACAGTTATGCCCATTTTTTTACATGCTGTCAGTGGGTGCTTTTGTGCTACAGAGGCAGAGTTGAGTAGTGGTGACAGAAATTATCTGGGTCTGCAAATTCTAAAACATTTATTATCTGGATCTTTACAGAAAATGTTTGCCAACCCCTGCTTTAAAGCAAGTAATAGGGACCAGAACCACACAAGGTACTTCATAGCACTTATCTCTACAGTAATTAGGTCAGTCTCTGTGTTTGTTAATGCCTGTTGTCCTGCTGCATGTAAGTTCTTTGAGCGGCAAGGACTATGTCTATCTGGTTCAATATTTTCTCCCCAAGGGCTGAGCACAGAGACTAGCACACAGTACACAATTAATAAATATTAGTTGAATGAATGAACTCAGTTGCCAGATAGATTTTGAGTTCTTGAGGGTTCTTAAGATCCTGACTCATAGTAAGTTCTTAGAAACTGTATGTTTGCTAAACAATCAATTGCTTGGACTCTAAATCTAGAGAATGGATATGTTTTACAGGACATTTAATGACCAAGACAAACCCTTGTCTATAGTATGGTGACTGTATTTTACACTATACCATTTGTGCCCATCCCCTTTCTAATTTCACAAAATCCTTTCTGCCTCATGCCCTGATATCTGGTTCTTGGCTCTGATGTCGCCAGTCTCATCATTGATTTGCAAAGCTGGTCCTCCATCCTGAGGAATCCATCTGTGCTTCACAACGTGGCTCCCAACTGCCTGCAGGGCTTCCATGAATGTGCTCAACCCAGCATTCAACCCCGAGGCACATGGGCATTCAGCCCACTAACACTCATATGCAAGAGAAACCAGGAGCAGACACCACTGGATTCTGGAAGGAACAAAGAGAAGGACTGAGTAGAAGAGACCTCTGGCTTGCCACTCCCAAAACGTTTGTCATTTGAATATGGAAGATTGCTCAATATGAAGAAGAGAGAAATTGGACTCTCAAGGACACAACAAGATTTGGAAAAAGAACTAAGAGCTTGAGAGTAAGACACACCTGGGTAGGAATCCAAGCTCCAATACTTACTAGCTGTGTAAACTTGAGCCAGTTAATTAATTTCTCTGACATAAAAACACCTTAATGGCAAAATGGGTGTAAAATGATAACTTTGCAAGGACATTGTGATAGATTTAAGGTGTTATACCAATTTTACTACTCTTTCCCCTTCAAATTTTAATGCCACCAAGAGAAGGATCTTTGGAAATTTCTACTTACCAAGCATTCCTTTCTTGGAACTGGACAGACACATATCCTTCTCTGCACTGGGCAAGACAAAACTCACCACGAACACCTCCACCCCATCGGCCATCAAAGCCAAACCCAAGACGAAAAAGAGGGTCCACTGGAAGCGTCCATGGCCGCACTCATCAATAATGGTCTCATACTGGTGGGCCAATTGCTCCTCATCTTCCATCCTCTCAGCCATTAGGTCTGCCTGGCCTCGAAGGCCATCTGCCCTGGAGGGTGCCATCTTGGCCTGCTTGGCCTTGATGTCATCCGGGTGAGGGATGCCCTGGTACTCGCCCTCGTAGATTTCATCCTCTTCATCATGGCCCTCTGTAACATCACTCTGTGCGTCCTCTTCTGGGTTGGACTCGCTGCCACGGTAATAGCCATCATTGGGAGCATAGCCCTCATAGTTATCCTGATATTTGTAGTCATCCATTCCTTGGTTCCGGGACTGCCTGGTAGCCTCTCGAGCTATATCTCTTGCACCGTGGTAGAGGTTTGGGCTGGTTCGATAACCATCATCCATTATACGTGCAGAGCTTTAAATGTAGAATATGTTCGTGTGACTTCTTGGATGAAAGTGACACCTGTATTCTCCCCCTTGGTCTCTGAAATAGAGCAGATTTATGCAAAGCAACCCAAGTATCCTTTTGCATTCAATGTCTAGTGGAAGTCTGTGGAAAGTTTCAAATTCTGGTCCGGTCTCCTTCAGTGACACAGAGGTGTTATGTTGGGAGATGTTGATTAGAAATGGGTCCAGCTGGTTTCCTTGACAAGGAGCCTGCAGGACTTGGCAGCTTGCTGGCTGGCCTGATTTGTTCTGCTACTGAAGGTTATGCCCTGGAGTACAGAGACGGGAGAGAGAAGAGCGTTAGAAAAGGAGGAAATTCTGACAAGATACCCTCAGAATTAAACAAATACATTTATTAATGCCAGTGCTTGATGTGTAAGGTGGACGAAATCTTGATTAGACGTTGGGATTCACATCAAATGAATGAGAATTGAATCCGTGAGACAAAGGACAAGGGGAGAAGGTACAGGGGTCAGAGACGCCCTTTGAAATGTTGATCAATCCATGAAAGGGGTCAAATCTTACCCAAGAAATAAAATATAAAGTGGACAAGGCATTTTCAATACAAGACAATTTTGTGTTATGGATTTTCTGTTAGAATCTATCAAGCCTTTGGCAACAATGCAGGTTTATTACAGCTCAGCTTCTATTAAGAAAATGCCAGCCTTTCTAACTTTGTTATGTACAATTTTACATCCAGAAATGTGTAGCAAAAAAATATCCAGGACCATTTTTCCCAGCTTACTTTTGAGACTCAGGATTGTGGTTCAAGGGCCACCCTGACCTTGTACTTCGCTTAAATAGGCAAGAACAGGTGCTGAAGACCCAGAGCCAGAGAGCTTAGGTCTAAACTTCCTTCTGCCACATAATGTCTGTGTGACCATTCACACATCTTTCTAAGCCTCCATTTTCTCATCTGTAAAATGGCAATAAGAATAGCACTTAACTCATAAGGTTGTGGGCAAAGTGCTTAGAACAGTGCTGGACCTGCACGTCTATTTAAGCCTGGATGTTACTGTTGCTCTTTTTTCCCTAGTTCCGATTCTGGAAATCAGGACCCAGTATTGCCAGATCTAAGACCCTACGCCATACCCAAATTCCAATCACTGTGTCCACCTGCTGATTCCTATGCCCAACAGACTGGCATATCTGCCCTAATTACCCTTCTAGAATCTCAGTTCTCACAGGTCTGGAGCCACCATTTAACGATGCCTACTGTGTGCCAGAAACTGTGCTGTGTGTCCCATCCCTTATCCCTAACCGTCGCCACAATCAAAAGAAGAAGAAAAAAGTATTTGTCTCTTCATCTTACAGTTGAAGAAACTGTGGTTCAGATGGGGTTAGATCAAGGTCACATAGCTAGGACTCAAAGCCAGGTCCAGTGATCCCAAAGTCAGTTTTATCCACGGCCTCCCCCGACGGTGCTTCGCAAGTGCTGTTCTGAGAGACTGTCACTTTCGATCCCCTGAGGAGCTTTAGAAACGCAGATCCCCAGAGCTTGCAGAAGGGCTGGTTCAAGCTCAGAAATCTGAGTTCTCATACAGCGCCCCAAGTGGCCAGACTCCTCCCATGGCCCTTACCCCTCCCACTCCAACTCTCCCCCACTGCCAGACCCTTGGACACAGATGGATGCTCAGATCTCTTATTGAGGCTGCCAAAAGCCCACTCCCCAGCTCAACCCACCTGCTGATAAGTACACACACCATCAACACTTACGACCCTCCCTGTCGCACTTGAAATCCACACTGTCCTTTCACCAAGCTCAGCAGATGTCACTTCACAATGGACTGAACACCATGCTCTCTGCACAGCAGCTGGAGTCCTGTGCCTGCCCACAGCGCATCCCTGGCCCTCCGCCCCACACCTGCCTGCCTGGCTCTCCTCACCCTCAGACCCGGACAGGCTCCAGCTCTGGAACTCGTTTGACTCAAACAACACAACGCATTTCTTTTGGGGAATCCCAGAAATCAGTGGTTCTCAAAGACAGGGTGGGCCAGAACCACTTGGGGCAGGGGGGGCTCATAAGAAATGCAAATCCCAGGACCCCTCCTCCAAAGACTCTGAGCCTGCAGAGTGGGGGTGGGGCCTAGAAATCTGCATGTTTCACAGACACCGCAAGGAATCCAGTGGACCGCACTTTGAGAGACGATACCTTAAGAGGCAGCAAAAAATATTTACTCAGACCTGATTCTCACTTTATCCTTCCAGATTTTTCACCATGCCCAGGAAATAAATTTCTACTAGACCAGGCTGGCCTGAACCATGTTAGATTAATATTCTAAATCTGTTTTTATTATATCCATTTAGAAACCACAGGAGGAATATAAATCACACGTAAACAGCATGAGAGTTTTGCAGAGGGCTATAAAAAACAAAGAAAGAATGCCAACTGCCTGAGATCTGGTGTGTTATTTCCATCCTGGGGGCTCTGCAAAAATGTCATGAACCAGAAATGACAGATTTGCAATTCCAAAAGCACATGTGGGAAATACCACTCAGGGCAAAGGTCCTGGGACTTGCTCTACGGAAAGCAGCACATCTTCGTCAAAACTGCCCGCGCTCACCTGATCCAGCTAAATGCACTGTTGTGAAAGGCAAGTGCAGTGGAATAAGAAGGATTCACCGCCAAGTGTTGGGTTTTTTTCCTCTTTCAGAAAGGCCAAGTTATTTTCTCAGCAAAGGATTTTCTAGAGAGTATAACTGTTAATCATTTTCAAAGTTATGGGCTGAATCGTGACCTTCCACCCCCGCTAAGAAGGTACGTTGAAGTCCTAAGCCCCAATACCTCAGAACGTGACCTTATTAGGAAATATGGTCCTTATGGAGGTAGGAGAGTTAAGATGAGGTCACTAAGGCGGGCTTTAATTCAATGAGACCGGTGCCCTTATAAAAAGGGGGAATTTGGAGACAGAGACGGACACTCGGAGGCGAGATGATGTGCAGACACAGGAGGGGCCATCCACGAGCCAAGGAAGCCCGGAGGCTCCCAGAAGCAAGGAGAGAGGCCTGGAACAGATTAGGAGGCATCGACCCTGCTGACACCTTGATTGTGGGTCTCTAGCCTTCGCAACTGTGAGACAACAAATTTCTGTTGTTTAAGACACCCAATTTGTAGTACTTTTTTGGCAGCCCCAGAAAACTACTACATTCAACAACATTAACGCTCCTAGTGTTATCAACGAAATAGCGATAATGAAACAACCAGAAGCATAACTATGAACTGAGGACTAAGTGAGCATTTTATAAGCAATCCCTCACTTATCCTCAGAGCCAACAGTGGATGAGATTATTCTCCCCATTTCACAGACAAAAAAACCGAAGACTAAGAGGATTAAAGAATGTGCCCAAATTATCACAGAGAATCAATATCAGGGCTTGCCAGTTTCAAAGAGAATGTTAGGGATGACATGCAGTCCCCCTTGGACTGGGACTCCAAGAAGACAAGTCAAGGTCACACACCGAGTTGCCCACAGAGCTGAGATCAACATCAGGCTTCTGAGTGATGGTTCGAGTTTGTTTGCGCATCCTCAACGAACATTCCCCAGGATCTTTGGTGCTTAACGCATTGTAATAGATATGACAGGACCTGATCCCCATTCTTAAGAGGGCTACCCCTCATGAGAGAGTCAGAGTAAAGCAACACAAAGCATCACGCAGTCATAAAAATGATCATCTTAATTATTAACAATATTATCTCCCATTTATTGAATACTGGCCTTGTGGCTTTGGGCCAGGTACTATGCGAAGTTCATCATGTGCTTTATGTCTTTTAACCTGGACCAGATCCTGTGAGGCACGGACTATGACACCCATTTTACAGCAAGCAAGACTGATGCGGAAGATGTTAGATGGATGACCCAGAGTCACGGATAGTAGGTTCTCCCGGGGGTTTCAGAGGACTGGAGGGTCACTATGGGCTGGGATCAGCTGAAACAGCATCCTAGAGGTCAGGGGGATTCCAAGGGCAGAAAGGGGCTCAGAGAAGCAACAACACAGCCTGGAGAACAAGAATAAGCAAAGGCACGGAGGCAGGAATGGCTTCGCTGATTTGGGCAGCAAGGAAGCATCTCCCTACAGCAGAGGATCCAAGAAGGGGAAATTATGGGAGATACAATGGGAAAGTCAAGGGCTCAGTCGGAATGCCCCGCCCAGGGACTGGGAATTTTCCTTTGAGCAGGGGACCGTGAAGGTTGTTAAAATGAGCAGAGCAGTGTGTGATGCAGAGCATGGATCTGGAAAGATCTCCCTAGTGAGGATACGTGTCCTGGTTTTTAAGACAAAACCTAGGGACAGTGAAACCAGGAAGAAGTTTTCAAATGTGTGTGTGTGTGTGTGTGGTGGCCACAAAACTGGGAGAAAAAGGATACAGAAGGACTCCCCCAGGAGAATAAGTGGTGCATACCTGTCAGGCGAGAGGGAGAGGGCAAGAGTGACTGGGATAATGCAGACTCTAGGGAGGCAAATCCTGGACTAAAACTCTTTGCAGCATCCTACAATTGCTGTGTAATTAAGACAAACGAAACTCTTTTTTCAGACTGACCCGCCCTTTTGGTTAGCTGGTAGGATACACAGCAGAGAGGTTGAAGAGCACGAACTCTGGTGTCAGAGGGCCCAGATTCAAATCCTGACTCTGCCACTTCCGATTACCTGTGTGCAAGCTACTCATCACCCTGAGCCTCAGTTTTCTTATCTGTAAAGTTGTTGTCATAATAGTGCCTACATCATAGGGTCCTTGTGATGATCCAGTGAGATAATCCACGGAGAGTGCTTAGGATAGTGCCTGGCACAGATGCGATCCATATAAATTTGATCTTATTGTCATTGTTGTCGTCATTATGATTGTTATCTGATTGAGTGTTGACAATTAAAATGTAGGCAAGATTTTGGCTTTAGCCCAGCCTAGCTCCCCTTGAGATTTAGGGCCCATCTGGGCTGGGCTGGGGAACCAAGTATAGAGAAAAACAAACTGACATTTAGGCATTCATGAAACTATTAGCTCTCAAAAACATCCCAGCGCTGATCTCTTAAGCATCCTCCTTTAACTCTTGCAGTCTATTAACCGCTGAGTTGATGCCACTTGATTCAAAATCATTGTGTGATAAACATTGTTCATAATTAAATATCACAGAGAACAAAGCTAAAAAGAATATTGTAATCAAATGATGTAATGCTTCCCAAAATGGGTTCTGTAAAACATTAGGCCTTGAATACGCTCATGTAAGGGAAAAAAGAATTCCAAGAACAAATGAGTTTAGGGAACATCGCATAC